AAAAAAAGAAAAGAAACAAAAAAAGGACTTGACATAGTATAAAAATTTGAATAACTTTAAGACTGTCTACTAAATTAACAATTGTGATTAATCAATATAACAATATAAACATATCATAACAGTTAAATGAGAGAAGTAAAAGCTTGTCATAAACTATAACCATTGTGTATTGTAGCATTTTCTAGCAACCACTCTCGACTGTCGTAAAAATCGTTAAGGAATACTTCTTGTTGATCAACAATCAAACTTACATATTCATATTGATATGACCATGAGCCACACTGCAAATGATTTTTTTTCCGTCAACAAATTCATTTATTGTCAACCTTTTTTGTGTGTCAAACAAATTAAATGGATGTGGATCACTTCTAACTAAAGTTATAGGAACGGTTAAATAACAAATAAAAGTCGTGACCAATAACAATATGAATCTATATTTCATCCTAATAAAAGTTAGTTTGTCAGAACTTTTCCGGTGAAACCGAAGCTGTACAACGAAAATGCTAGTTTGATTGAGGAAACAGAGGAGCTAAAACTATAAAATGTTCAAAAATGATAATCACACTACATTAGCTTTCGCTATGAACCAAAAAAGATAAGGAGCGGCCAGCCCTAAGAGCAAATGAGATTTGAAAATCTTAGCAGCTTACAATTTATGCTAACAATAGAACATGATTCCGTTTTTTAACGCTACACTGTGTAGATGACTAGATGATGAGTGGAAAGGCAGTCTTGATTATGAAGACAAACTATAAACTGATAATCTACTAGCTCGCAATGGTTAAATATAAACAGGTGTAATAGCTGATCCAGTACAAGAGTTATTAATTGCCAGAACTTTATTTCCAAAAGAACTGGAGGGAAACTGTTCAAGATTTAGAGAATAATTGGCAAGATAATTATGAAAGATTGCAGGAGGCAAGAGACAATATTATTTGTTAATATAAAAAACATTGGGACATTAAATTATCCAAACAGAGTAGGAACAATAAAAAACCTGTCTAACTGGATAATTTGAAATGAACGCAAAGAATTGAAAAAGTTTTAATCCGTGTACTAATGACTATTCAGCCAGTAGTACGCGGTCATTAGTACTGTAAAATTTTATAAAAATAATATATTAGCGAAATATGAAACAGAAAATATTTAACACTCTGGAGTGAAAAAGGAGAAAATAACAGGTGGAATTCTCTAGGCTATTGACGTAGTTATCGGTGGAAAAATTCGTGTACCACTGTATTACGGCGCTACAAAGTAAAGATAGGACGCAGTGTGAAAAAATAAAAGGGCTAATTCATTAAAAGTTGAGGAAATATTGAACTCGAAAATAAATGGGAGCAAATCCAATAACTTGGTTTTACACGGGATTTAATGAGAGAACTTACAATTGCAAAACATTCCAATAACGTAATCGAATGGCGTGTTAACTTTATGTAAATGTCGGTTTAGAGTGCTGAAGTTATCAAATAATTATATAAGTGGAACGAAAGTTATCAAATTTACCAAATTAAAAAGTTATCAAATTATCCCATTGAAAAGTTTTTTACTTGTCCAAGTTCGTGAGGAAGTTCTAATTAAGCTAAAAGAATCAAAGTGTAAACATAGAAAAGCGATGATTCATGAGGCCAAAAATAAAAATCGCTATACGGATTGTATTGAAAATTATCACTCATAATTTGAACAAAGGAGCCAGCTTATCATGACTAAGAAATGAAACATTGAAAATGGAGATTGACGAATTGATATTATAAACACAGAAAGAACTATTAGGAATAAGTTTGTCAGTTTAAGAGACAGAAGAGTAAAAAAAGTGATAAAAGCTTATAGTAAATATCAGCTATGCTATTCACACGCAAAAAATTGTTCAATCTTGTCGTGAATCGAATATAACTATTGTCAAAATCAGGTTGCAGCTATGATGCACTGCTAAGTTGGAATCTTTGCTGCAAATACGATATACAAATTGTGAAAAAAGATAATGGAAACATAAATCAGAAAAGTTGGTCGAAATTGAAATCGCTTGAAGTATCAAGAATTTATGAACTAATACCAAATTAATCGATGCTGGCAAGGAAGTATCACAAACCAGTACGATTCGAAAACTGTCCTATTGGTTGCGAGAAAAGTAGATGGTATTTATTCTATTAGTAATAACATGCAATACCAAAGGAGTGCGGAAAAGGACTGAAAACGGGCGAGATAAACAAATGAATAACTGAACAACATCGATCTAAGTAAGGTTCATAGTAATAACTTCTAAAATCTCGGTCCGAAACAACTGGTAAGGGTGCAAAAGACCTGCATTCGTAAAATGAGAAACTATTTGATTAGTTCTGAAAGAATTTAATTCAAGATTTTAGTGAAAATAGTTAAAGCAGTAATTCTCAACCGGCAGTCCGCGAGAGCGACAGCGAGATAAGTAAGGAAAGGCAGGGATTGTTCATATCAATGCTTGATAAACTAATACGTTAAAGTTTCGATAACAGAATTTATTACTTTTTAACCCTGTGTTCCTTCCTACAAATAAAAAGCCAAAGTAGTCCGCAGCCAAGAAAAGGTTGGGACCACTGATTTGAAGTGACTAATAATTTCCGTCAAACAACTATAATTGCTCTATTTATTTTGAAAGAGGCTTAAATATTGAGTTACAGTTTTGCATAAATGAAATAAGAGTAGTACTCATCACATGCACACAGTATATTGTGCATCTGCAGTTGTTGAAGTTCAAGCTTCTTCCACTACCATGAAGAAGAAATACTAATTACAGTTAAGCTTTTAGTATTTTCCCTAACAACTATTTCAGGCATTTTTATCGTCTAAAATTGTTTTCTATTCTTGACATGGAAACAAAATCAATCCCAAATATAGGTTGTTCATCTTGCACAGTGACCGGTTTGATGTGCTCGCTTATTTATGTTACTTCCATGTTTTCAATTTTTAGCTTTCAATAAAATTTAAAATCGACTTGCCGCAAATGTACAGTTCTGTATATCGAATGGGAAATGTTTAACATTAATAGGACATAGGGCACGCACAGTAATAGGAATAAAAACGCGCAAGCGACCATTGACATTAATTTCTGCCATTGCATCCGGCGCATAATCCAAAACTCTACCTTGTATGCTGAAAATTATCAATGCTATATTATACGCGTCACAGAAAGGCGATTAACATTATTTAGGAGGTTTACCCGGATTTCTAATTGTTCGAAATGTGGGATATCCCGAATATTTCTTCCCACCTTTCCAAATGAATCTCGGCAGCTCAAAAGATTTTTCCCCACTTTTTTCTCATCCTATATTAATATTGCTAAATAAATCAAAGGGTCAATTTGTTGACTCCGTTCTCCTGGCTGTTATTGCATTTATTGCACAGCATTGCATATTCCTGCATGATATAGTGGGTAATAGCATATACTGAATCCAATATCGTTGCGTTTTGAAGTACGATTGGTCTGTTTTATACGCTTTTGAGTGCCGCTCGGAGTTTATTAGACATACGCAATGCTTCGATTAGTATTTATTTGCACTTACGAGATCCAACAACTGTTGAATTTTTCAATATCTAGAGAGTGAAAATTAAGGAAAAGGCCTTCGTTTTCAAATTCTAACACTGAAAGAAGCTAGGACATACTTGTGATATAAGTACAGCTCAGGTTTCCAGAACCATTTCGATGGTATAAATGTTCGTGATATATTATTAAATTCACTAGCATTCCACCTCAGTGAGGGATCAATCCACCACACATGAAAATAGCCAGATATTGTTGCTATATTGTTTCGATGATCCTAAATCACTAACATAAATAGTTTTCAAGCATTAAAAGAATTGCCATCTACAATTAGAAAATAAGTTAATTTCAAACGCATCATTCTGTGAAAAATTTACAAGTTATGACTGGAATAATTTGGCACAGTTATAAATCCCTCAAAACTGGTATTGGTTTTAATTTTCTAGCTCAATTTATCACAATTTTCAGGTTTTCGCTATATAAATCATTAAAACGGTCGATCCTACAGCTGTGACTCATTTCCTCCTCAGTAATGCTCTCTTCCAACATAGCCAATCTTTCTGCGTCTAGCCATGCTTCATTCTCGCACATTGGGTCTCCTTGACAAAGTTTTAAACAGTAAAAGACGAACTAAGTCAAAAATTTGGTATAATGCAGCGCGGACATGAATTTCGGTGGGAGTGTGAAAATTCAGAACAGGTCGTTGGAAAGGTCGTGCTGCTCTCTTAATTTGATTCAAAAGGCGTGTGTGCACATCCGCAGCTTTGCTTTCATCAGAGTAGTCCTCGCCGCCAGTCCTTTGCTCACTAGCCAACATATTCGGTTTTCCAAACTTGTCAAACACTACGTCATTCTGTTTCGATCCAGTCTGCGCCTCTGATAGAAGACCATCATGACTCACTGCAAATTCTTGTAAAATACGGTAAAAAAATAAGATGGAGGAAATGAGCAAAAAAATTTCAAATTCTTCTGCCAGTTACTTTTTAAAACCAACAATTTTATTTAGCAAAGTAAGCTGTTTATTTTACTTATTTCCTCCATCTACACCTTTTTTTTCTTAGTATCAAAACATCAGATGTTTTCCCACCACCTCTACTCAGATCGTAAACCTAGGATACACGCAAATGGACTGACGTTGCACAGCAATAATTTGTAGAAAGCTCTGCGTGATGAGACATTCGAGGCGCATTAAGACACCGACAAAGCCGGATTTCAGAATAACTGATGTCCACTGTTGATGTTGCCAATAATAAGTTGTGATAAACCCATAATCAATATCTCGATCGCGGTAAATAGGATACTGTAAATTTCCCGAATTAATTAAAATCGCTTGATATTTTTATCGCATATTAAGAAAAGGTAGAATTTTCCAAAAAATTAAAAGTGGACTCAGCTTATTCGCTATTTCGTGAAAAACAAACGCACCGATAAGAATAGATCTCGTAAGATTCAGGCTTGTTATATATAAGGTGTACACAAAAACAATTAACTATGCATCTTACTCTACATTTTAATTTATAAAAGTTTCCTGATGAAGATATAAATCCATATTGTGCGTGAAATGAAAAGGTAACGACGTATGAGAAATGTAATAGAAATTCCTATTAAAAGTGATATAATGAATGAGTAAAATTCTGGATAGCTGTAAAGCAACTTTCACTGAAATGATAGATAAAGCAGAAATTCAAAAATGGCATAATAACTGTTGTTTACGCGAATCAAATATTGGTGTTGTTGAGAAGAAATAAAGTAGGCTTGTTTAAATCTTACTTTTCTACGAATTGATAATATTTTGCATTAATTCACTTCTATCAGTTTTTTAGAAGAGTCAGTATTTCTTCAGAGAGGAAGATCATCCGCTAATTTTTAACTCTCACATAACTGAAATAAGCTTTAATCACTTGAGCATTTATAGTTGTATGGTTGTTAATTTTACTTAGAAATATTGGAATGGACACAAGAACCATAATTTTGATTAACTAACAATCTGCTAAACATCCAGTGTGAACCACTCTTCCTTTGTCTGTTCTCTTTGTATCTTTTTTTTTTGGATATCTATCTGACTGACCAATCTCACAATACTGTTGTCATATAGAAATATCATTCCATGGGATGATTATCCCATATGATAAAATTTCAATTTAACCAGTTTGATTTGATAAAAAATATTTTACTCAAAAGAGACAACATATATACTGAAAACAAATAAAAGACCTTTCAGAACACAAACTACAATACAAACAAGGTCTAACTTTTGCTTATTAATATTATTTCAGAAATTTGTCATTAAAAACAAGGCGACCGAAAATTGAAGCTTTTCCTTTATTACCGATATTATGAATATGTAAAAAGCATATTTTTAAATGACAAATTATTGTGCTTAAGTTTTATTAAGTTTCTTTTGGAAATCACAATGCTATTTTTATTTTCATGCATTCGGCTAGTGATTATGCACTTTTTTTGTGATTGATATGCATACGTCAAATTGACTTATCGATATTTCAGAAGTCAAAAAGCTGTCGCATGCGCCTTAGGACTAAAATAGGAGGAGAAATTCTGCTAGCCTCCAATGTACATCTTTATAATTTGAAATGTAAAATGAACAGTACTTTACTTTACATTAAATTAATTTTCATTGGATTTTCACGACTGCGTAAAGACATGCAAATAATTTTTTACGGTAACTCATAACAACGAATATGATTCTTTATGCTGTATTAATTATGTAAGTGTAAAACCTTGACTTTTGGTGAAAAAATCTTCAAAAAAAAAGAAAAAAGAAAATGAAAGACATGATGATGTTCAATTTCTTGGTTTGGAATATAAACAAGATTTCATTATGAATTTGCATAAAGGATAAAGAAAATGAGCTCACCAGTAGTCTTCGACATTTTAATTTGGCAAAATCACAGCGGACATTGCACAATTCAAACACAAACCTTATGGAAATATGAGCAATTTTTATAAAATTCTAAATCATTGTTTTCCAATACAGGATAGGTCAAAGAAACAATTATCCCCTCATTTTCACATGGATTCTTTAAGCTTATAACATACTTTTTAAGAAACTCGCAAAAAATTAAAATAAAACGGAATTGAAAAAATGACGAAAGTGTACAATATGTACGCGGTACAATCATTGTCAGCCATCCGCCCCACTGCCAAATTTACGAATGCTTTTTACTCCAGAGAATACTTCAAAAGCCAATAAACTCAATGCATATAAGTTTGGAGATACGTAGTGAGATGTGTTGTGCATTTTTGGCTATAACCAATAAATAAGAGCCAGTGCGCTTGCATACTAAGACTCATTGCTTTATTTAAATGCATGAGTGGATACTGATACCCTGAAGAATTGGAAATTTTTCAATATTTGAACTCTTTTCAAATCGCATATTACATTAAAAATCTTAAATTATTTCTTTCAACCATCCAGAAATTTCGTAAAACACTTTTGCATTTCACCGTGAAGTCGCACAAACCTCTCAGATTAGGCGAAGTAATATAAAACTAATTTTACTCAGATGGTTCAGGAAATGATGCATCTTATTGTTTCCGCTTTGTGTTGATGCTTGTATTTTTCTTGTACAAGAAACAATTAGATTATACTTATAAAATTTTAAAATAATGATCAATACCTCAATTATATTTATGTGTCATTCAGACGTCAGTTTGTGAAGAACTGTACGTGTAAGATTATTTCATTTAAGTCATTTTTCGTCTTTGAAAAAAAAAAATGTAGGAATCGATGAGTTAGAACAATTCTAAATAACTAGCAGCATTTTTCTTTAAGGAAAATAAGAATGCAATGTGGGCAAGGAATGATTTATGAAGCAACTGCCTTTTCCTCAGCGGGACACCGATTGTTGGCTTTTTAAGTGAGCCCTTAATCCACCAAACCATTATTTTGACAACAAAGATAACAACAACTTAATCAACATATCAAACTGATTTACAAATGTTCAGAATAATTTTTAATTTTTCCAAATGAAAATTCCATCTTTTCTTGATTTCCTATTTCAGCACTTTTAAGAAGGTGTTTCCTTTTTTTTAAAAAAAACGTTTTTTTTTTCTTTTAAGCTTGTATTTACTTTTACTTACCTATTATTTTAAAAAGGGACGAGATATACTCCAGCAAAAAAACCTTGTTTTTGATAAATTTTGACACTGACCATTGAAATTATAAACTTTCAAGTGGAAATACTTTGTTGAGAATTATCACAAATGGCAGAAAGGAATAGAAAATATGCAATTGATCAGTTTCGCTAGATTTGAAAATTAACTTGTATAGCTCGGCACTTCTCAGCTTTTCATATCTACCAATTTTGAAATGGAAGAGAGATTTCTCGGATCAATTTGGTGCCATAAATGGAAGAAACACAAATAGGAAGCCAGTTATTGATGTTTACCCCTGTAAGGTTCATGAATAATTCATTAAGTTTTTAGTTTTCTTGATCCAAGAAATGAATAGTCCAATAGAAAGGTAGTGACGAATGAATGTTCAGCCATTGTGCTGCTTCGGTATGCTGCGGATGTGCACATACGCCTTTTG